CTGTGCCTGCCCGCTGGCGTGTCTGTGGGGTGCTCCCCGCCGTGCGTGGGGCCGTGTCGCGCTGAGCTCGCACCCGTCCTTCTCCCCAGGTCTACTCGGCTCTCCAGTGGATACAGTTCACCATGGCCATGCTCAGGTACAACGCGCTGCTAAACCCGCGTCGCCGGGATGGAGTTACTATTGCAACGACGATTTTCCCTGGAAAAAGAGAAATCGCTTATCCCAGCGAGGCAGATGTTCTGTTCCAACCTGTGCTTTGTTTTCTCAGTGTTATAGGTTCCAGCTCCATTATTGCCTATGCCATCTTTCAAAATGCAGTGCGGTCCCCCGAGGTAAGGTCTGCGCCTCCTTTTCCCTCCCTCAGTTGAGGTGTTGGTACCTTGCAGATGGGTCGTGCACGTAGCAAAGACCCGCGTGGGTCAGGCACTCTGCTAGGAGCAACTGCAGGTGTCAGGCTTATGTGGTTAAATCTTGTTTAACAGCTGGGAGGGAAAGGGCTTGCCAAGAGTTTCGCCTTTTTTCTGTGATATGAGTTGAAGGGACTAACCTCAAACAGCACCCATGCAGGTAGAAGCAGGTTCTTTAGCCCCGCGCTTTCTGCCGCTCCGGGAAAGTCCTCCAGTCATTCCAACACAGCTTGGGAACAGGGACTTGTTAGTGTGTCCTCCTCTGTGGGACAAAACTCCTGAAGAGCTGAGAGGCTGTGAACAAAGCTGCTGAAGTGCAAATTGGAGATGCCCCTGTAGGAAATGTATTACAGGTGTCCATCTTCGGGTATTTCTGAGTAGTTTTTCCAGGCAGGTGCGCTGCTAAAACTGATACAACTCAAAGATGCTGCAAAGTTCAGACAGAAAGAGAGCAGGCTGAAAAGCAGTTTATTTTGCTGGGCTCCGCATTGGGGCTTTGGAAGATTGACCCTGGCCGCACAGAGGAGCCACAAACATTTCTAATGCTGAAGCAGTGGGACTCAGGTGCAAACTTCCCTTGGGATGGGACTGTCCGCACGTGCACCACAGATCTGACATAAATGCAGTGCCTGGCACGTCCCGAGGTCATGTGTGCAGGGAACCCTCTGTGTCTGGGATATATCAGACGTGCTGAGCAGTTGGCTGGCACATGCGCAATAACCGTAGACCTCCATCCCAAGCCTGCCAGGTTTTTGCTGGCCACACACAGTCCCTCTGTCTGTCCAGGACTTAACCAGAAGCAGTGCACAGAGCTGATCTGTGTGAAGCCGGGGTTTGTCGTCTAGGATTTGCAGATGTCTGGCAGCCCGGTCTGTGGACCACGCAGATAACAGGTTACTGCTAAGAGCAGTAGGACAGTAGAGCTGGCAGCTATGTTGTAACAAAGCTGTATTTGCGCTTCCCTCGCCTTCAATATTCTTTGTAAATCGTGGGTTTGATCTGCAGCGCAGAGAACAGGACTTCCATGGAATGCAGTGAGTTATCCCCAGAGGAGGAAGCTAACAACAAGCTAACAACAGACACATCATTGGATGAAGCAGAGTGGGGAGGAGAACATGAGTCCAGTTTTGCAGGGCAAATTTGCACCCCTTACAACATGCAGGGCAGTCTTGCTCCCAGGTAGCCAGCCTCCTGGCAATGCTCTGCCCAGCACATCGAGAATGAGCTGCGATCTCCATGCATTCCCGGGGAGGAATGAAGGCTGGGACTTCACCTTAGTGCTGGGATGGAAAACCTGCCTGAGCTTGTGCTGCACAAGGTACATATCAAAGGCTCCCTCTACCACATCTCCTGCACCTGGAGAGCTCCAGACATGGTTCTTTTCCCGGTGTCCTCCACTCTGGTATGATATGGAGCTGGAGCTGGGTTTGGCAGGTGTCCTGGTGTGACTCAGCAGCCTCAGCCCCTTTATTTCCACGGCTAGAAGTCTGCATTACTCAGGAGCCCTTGCGCTGTTAGTCATATGATGTGGCTGTGGCTTGGGAGCTGCACTCTAGCTGCTTGTGAGCCATACATGGCTCCAGGTCACAGATGGACCCTTCCTGCTTGAGGGATTCCAGATGTTTCTGCTCAGATTAATTCTGCAAATCCGGATAGCAGGGATGGATACCGGCCGGAGTGACTTGTCTGCATCGGGCTTCCAGGCTCTTGTTCTGCTGCCAGGAGAGATCTGTTGCTGGTGTTTCAAAAGTGGCAAAATCTTCAGTAACTTCCCCATCGCCTTGTCCTCATGTTTCTGGTCTTAAGTGGAAATTTGTAAACAAAGGGGGTGGAAGAGATCCATATCAAAGCTTGCCACAAACAGCTTATTCCCCGAGTCATGAGGCTCCAGAGTAAAATGTTTAAAAATAAACAGCTCTGAAGGCTGGGAGGAGAACAATGTTATAAACACTTCCCCTCCTGCCCCCAGCCTAGGAAATCAAATATTGCATTCTTGAAGCTTGTTTTCTGTCTCTGCGGGGTCAATAAAACTCTTCAGCCTGAGTTAAATCATTCAGAAGAGATGATGGCAAGCAATGCACAACGAATTTCCTCTGTCATGTCAACAGGTTCTGTGCAGGCAGATGCCCCTGGGCAGTGGCCAGACAGAGCTAAATCAACACGTATGCTCCAGCCTGGCAGCTCATCTGAATCGTTACATTTTTATGTTCCCTTCCTCTATTTTATAAATACCAGTTGTTTTTTTTTCTTTTCCCTTTTGCAAGGAAGAGCCATGCTGCCTTTCACTTACCACTATGTCACCTACTTCTTTATTTAGGTCTGTGCCAAAATAGCTCCTCAACCAAACAGTGGTGCCTCACTCCAAGGACACTTGTTGCTAGAGAAGGGGGTCACCTGTTCGATTGCAGAAGTTGCTTCTTTGCGTATTTTGGAGCTGCTTGGTTTTAACCTCTCGTGCTCACAAACTGGACAATGTCCCCAACCTGTCATGCCTATGACCACCTGCCAGGGCTTCAATTCTGCACCAGCAAGGAAAAACCTGGTTAAAAAAGGGACGTACAAACTAGCTCCAGATATTTAGCTAGCAACAGCAGTTTGATTTACCGTGTTGCTGGGTTGAATGGTACAAATACGGAACTGGAGGGACAAGGATGTTGAAGGAGACAAATCCTGCAGAAGGCAGAGGACCTGCCGTGCTGCTGCAATGGCAGTGGGGCGCCCAGGAAGACACCAGGCAGATCTCCCTCAAACTATGCCCTAAGGACAGATCTGGTTGTCAGATCTACATTACCGCTTATCAGTCTTAGTAAGCTCTTTCTCATTGCTCATGGGAATAAGGCAAGTATCACACAATGCAGATGGGTGGCAAACATTTACTTAAAGGACGGTATTGAGGCAAATCTCACCAAAAGCTCGGTTCCATGAAAAAAATCTTAAAATCAAGGCCTCCTGGAATGTTTCCATGCTGGTTTTAGCATTATAATTTCCTGTAGGGAA